TTTAGCTGTGCAGGGTGTATGATTGATTGATTGTTGGTTGCTTAAAGTCCAGCGGCAAAGATTACATTTATTCAATTATTGATGCAGTGTATATGTTTCAATGTCGGATAGCTCGTGTTTTTCCTTTGTTGATTTCCCAAGGGTGACTGAGGAATAAAGTGTGGTCACTTTGGTCTTCCTTCGACTGGCAGTGAAACCCTTGCCAAAGTAGCGAGTCCGTTTCACTATTTGGGATGCACAAGTACACAGCCACGTTCGGTCATAGTGGGACCTTGTTTTGATTCCTTGCGAAGAGAGCGCCACGCTTCTAAACGTTAAAAACCCTTGCAACTACTCTTTGAGGAGTTCGAAGGTGTCCTGTTTCACAAATTAAAGAAAGTATTAACAAAAATACCGAAGCTATATTAAAAAAGTGGGGAAGTCTCCATTATAACCTCTTTTTCGGTTGCAGTTGAACAAATTACCGACCTTCATCCCCGTCTACCCCTATACTGAAACTATATATTGTATCATCACTGTATTGTTAATTTTTTCTCGTCCTGAACATGCATTGAAATACACCTGTGATGTAAATCTTTTGTTCAAACTCTCCATTATTTTTCAGGAATGGAGAGTTATTTTCTTTTGTTCATCTTCATTCATCCGGACGTTTTGCCCTTTGGATATTTCAATGGGCACTTTCTTAAAAAGTATCCACCCATGGAAATAATCCTGAAGGACGAAACGTGATAGTGAATGAAGATGAAAACTTACTAAAACGACTGATAATGGAGTTTTTTTTAAATAGGGATCTTAGTCATACAATGAACACCAAATATCTCATTATTAATAAACAGCTTTTATTTGCGAGTCGTTATTTCATTGTATAACATATAGTATCGTTTTCACTAAAATTCCACAACATTATCCATATTTTGTTTTCCGATGCAAATCGTGGCTGAATTTTTGTAACGGATAGTATCCAAGCGGGTAAAAACGAATATTTTCCATTGAGTGGCATTCCTCTTCTGTGCATCTACAAAATATCAGATGAATTTTTTTGTGATATTGAACACATTAACATTATTCAATAAGGAAAATTAGTCTTAGATGCATGATTTTTTTTATTAGTTGTTATTGGCTTTGAACTAGCTGTCACTAACTGCGAGAACTCTCAGATCTGTACTTAGTGTCTTTTTGTTGAGGGGACGTATAAGTACACTGCCACGTCCACTTCTTGTTTTTGTGCTTAGTATCTATCGGATGAGTTAAGCCCTTTTTAACTGACTTTTATAGTTTGTTCATATGTTGTACTGTTACACCACTGTCCAAAGTTAGGGGAGGGTTGGGCGCCCACTAACATGTTTAACCCCGCCACATTCTGTATTTGCCTGTCCCAAGCCAGAAGCCTTTAATTCAGTGATTGTCGTTTGTTGCCGTATATCATATTTGTTTTTCATTCATTATTTTGTACATAAATCAGGCCGTTAGTTTTCTCGTTTGAATTGTTTTACATTTGTCATTTCGGGGCCTTTTGTAGCTGACTATGTGGTATGCTCATTGCTCATTGTTGAAGGCCGTACGGTGACCTACAGTTGTTAATTTCTATGTCATTTGGTCTCTTTTGGAGAGTTGTCTCATTGACAATCATACTACATTTTCTTATTTTTATATTCACTTACAGATTTGATTTTAATTTACCGTTTAAGATATCATTTGCTTGAAATTTAAAGTGTTGTAGTTTGATTTTGTACAGCAAAAATCGTTTGTTCCATTTTATAATAAATGTACATTAACAAAAGAAATATAACTCGGATAGTTTCTACAATAATACTGTGGTTTAATAGAATAAATAGTTCAAGAAACTGAAATGGTCAAAATGGCGTATTCGGTATATTATTTGATTTTTTGTTGTTATAATTTGAATATAGTATTAATGAATAGAACTTGAGGGGGTATGGATAACATTTGAATAAGACTTGAGTTAAATATTGGATTGGATTTTTATTCAATTTTCAACAGAAACGCGTAACATTATCGAATTCCTTTACTGTTGTTATATGTCCAGTGGCAAATATAACAGTTATATCGGCAGTGCAAATGACGGCGTTAATCTTGAAATGTTTTAATGAAATCAAAAAGTAGTTTTCCACTCAAGTTAAAGACTTACAAAACGCAACTAGAAATGTTTTTAATCACTCGGGGGTTTTTTTCCAAAACTTTTTGCCTCCTTTCTGATAATAGGGGAAAATATTTTCAGTTTGCTGGTATTGCTATTTAAGACGTACCCGCTAACACATACATAACATTTTTTTCGTTTTTCTGAGCAAAGGGACATGCAACACTGTTTTCTTGTTTAATTCTATTTGATCTAATAGAATGGTTTGAAATGTCGAATCATATTTCGTTTCAAATATGACTTATAATCGAGCACACCCTTATGAGTTAAATAATCTATACTAGAGGTTGCAATTCTGTAAATATAGACAATGCAATTTCCCATAGGAACTCCCTTTGCGGCTAAAACTGTGACACTTTTACTATGAAGTTTCGTGAAAAATAATATCCTAGAACGGAAAGTTTATATGCGCTACTATTTTATTCAAAGGTCAAAATATAGGGCTGTGCGGCATATTTTCAACATTTATATGCCCTGAACTTCTAAGAGTTTAAACTTATACTAAAATTCTATACTACCCTTACCTCAATTTTTGGACCTCCTAAGAATTAAACTTTAGGCGCTACCATGTTTTTCTATACTGGTTACATTCCCAAGTGATGTCTCTATGAAATGAAACACAGAGATCATAAATGGGAACCAGTACGTTAACAAATTAACATATCTATGAATATTATATATCTCCCCAAAAGAGGCGTGGTTTGAGAAACAGCTGTATTTACAAAGTGCAACCTAGAGTGTTACATACCTGGAAATTTATTCTAGTTGTACCATGTCATTTTTATCAGACGATTCTAAATCCAAGATTTATCAAACAAAAACACACATAATCCATTAACAAATATGCATAAATACTATTTTTTCTCTCTCTCCAAATACCACTTAAAGACAAAAATAAATATCCTTTCAATCACATTACAAGAAAGACGTGCGTATCCAATGACTTAAAACATACATCTGGATGAACTTAAATCAAGATCTTTTTATAGTAATTATTCTACTGTTCATAAATACTTCGTTAAGTGAGTAGATGGTCAGCTTGATCTTAAATTTTGCCTGTTAATTATTGGGTACAACACGGGGAAATGAAAAGAAAACCATTACAAAATGAAATATTTGTTTTAAAATGTTATAATCTAAAGATTCGTTCTTAATATTTAAGGTGTATTTTAAATTAGCGAAAGTCCAAATAACTGTCATTCCTGCAAAATAATGGAGCGGAGGCCCGTAGTCCAAATAACTGTCCATTCTTGGGAAATAATGGGCGTCGGCCCTACGGGCCTCCGCTCCATTATTTCCCAGGAATGGACAGTTATTTGGACTTTCTCTATAACTGAATCATTTAACACTGGACATTAAGGAACCAGCAATCAATCATCATATTTTGTACAAAACAGAGTCTAAATATTACCGTCAATTTTGTTTTATTCACGCATTCAAAAGAGATAATAATCGGCACATGTTTTGAATTCAAATGGCTAGACGAAAAATTTTGGTCAGCTGAGAATATAAAAGAATGAATTAGGAACATAATTTTACAATGAAAATGTGGTAAGATATTATTTTCATTCATTTTAAGGTCCCTGCTATTACTTTTGGTACTTTTTGCAGTGGGTAATAAATCTTTAAAAAAATGCTACGTGGAAATAGCTACTTCCGATAAGATGTGGTTTCGACAGCAGTTAATGACTTACAAAATATCTTTAGATTTGCGAAGATGAGGTCTCTGTCATCAAAATTATAATATCATAACTATGTTTTTGTTGTATGTTTATACTTTGTAGTTTTTGTTGTATGTTTATACTTTGTAATTCTTGACTGTTTTGTAAGTAAAGTGTTGTATTTCCTTGACCAATATGGATGTAATTTTAAATTAAATTATTACTGTTATTAATTTATTCTCAATCTGGACATGCATCAATTATTTACCAATTGACGTGAACTGCAATCAATCAATAATAGAACATTCTGAATATTTTACAAAAATATTTCAGAATACACGTAACAGTATGGATGCTATCAGTAAAACAGGCAACGGCAGAAAAAAAAACAATTAATACATTCAAGAATAAAGAAATTAAACACCGATAATATTGGCGTCAGACTATTCATTTTGAAAACTTCCTCCTGAATATAACACATTGTTTGGGTACTGTGTAAATTGTGCTTATTATTTTTGTATTGATTTTTATAAAAAAATTCTTATTAGTTGATGCTTGCTTTTGTTGTCTTATCTTAGAATATGCATTGAAGAAATAAAATTAAAAAAAATATATGTCTTAAGACATGGCTGAATTGCCCTAGGTGGATGGAAACACTTAAAGTTCTATTTTTATTGTGCACAATTGCGACACTTTAAGCATGGCAGATTAAATTTATTGTTTCTGGATATGTTTGAGGGTCTAGTTCTTGAGTATGATTTTTATTTCATACTGTTGATACTGGGAAAACAATTAAACGATTTCCAATTGGAACAATAAAAAAACAAGTAAAATTATGCAATGAAAGTCAATATTGTGCCTTTACGTTAGTATCGTGTGGTGTCCCACATCTATTTCGTAATTGTCACCACAGAACTACATTTCCTCAGTAAATTCAAATTATATGTGAACGTTGATTCATTAGGATCGTTGTAAGTGTTCTAAAAAAAATCAACATTAACATCAAACATTACTGGTTTTGTTTATTTCATCGATTTAACTGGTGGATCGAATTTCATGTCCACATTGTTACGAGCCTAAATGTTATCCAGAGTCCCGATAGAACATCGAAGTATTTGTAAGCGTACATTACTGGGAAAACCCTTTTACCTGCGTACTTAAAAATAGAAGTCACATGATCAGCTGTGTATCACATGGGTGAAAAAATATGGCGGAACCAGTGGTGTCCCAGAGAAGAACTCGGGGCTACGAACGTAATAAACAGGTAAGACACCATTTGAAACATGAATTTATACGTTTTATCTGACTTCAGTTATCTTAGCAAGGTAGCGAAGTGTTCACACTTTACAAATGAAGAGTTTCAAAGTAGAAACAACGAAGAATGTGCGTTATACAAATGTACATCGGTCTTTTTCGAACACATGCCCCAAGTCATCGTGACGTCCGCTGTTACGAAAATAAATGTTTTTTAATTTACACACGAAAAAGAGACAAATGTGTATCGAACAAATTTTTACAAAATTCTATGATTAAATGTTCCATGTCAAGTGTTTTTTTAAATTGATTTTAATTTAGCGCTCTAACATGTCCATTCGAATGAAGAATTATGTGTCTTTGATTATGAACATGATAAGAATTGTAGACGAAAATAAAAATTATGTAATTGTGGCAAATTTAGACCTTTATTCTTCTACTCCCATTGAAATAGATTTTTTTAAAGACACTTTTACACAAATCTAGATATTTCCTTTTTATTTTATGTTCATAACATAGACACTTTAATTTTATCATTTGTTGTTCCGTCCTTTGTTATGAACATAAGAAAATATGTGTCTTGAAATAAAACAAATTTGTTATTGAACTTCAAAGCAGACATAAACTTATTACCAATAAGATTAAAATATATTGTCAAAAATTCTGTTATGCAAAATATTCTATATCACATGTATATTCATGTATGACACGTTCATAACGGGGACACAATAATTTGTCTTCCATGTTATGAACATATGTATGTAGAACAATGCATAATTGTATAACACAAAAATCCCCTGAAGTTGTCCAAGAATGAGTAAAAAAATTGATGTTTTATAGTGAACTTCTAATTAAAATTGTGTTTGAAAATATTCAATAATTAATGCTAAATATAAACAAGACATTTTCATAACTGGGACACAAAAATTTGTCTTTCATGTTTTGAACTTAAACAGTTGTTAATATTTCAACACCATTATTGTGTCTTTCTTTTAAATTGAAAGAATTAAGTCAAATTTGATATATATGAAAAAAAAGAATTATTAAATTTCATATTCTGCAAAGAACAAAAATCATGTTGAAATTATTTATGTAACAAAGGACACAATAACTTTTTTATTGCCAATGTAAGCAAGACAGTTTTTTTCTTTCAATATATTTCATTATTCAAAACTAAGACATGTTAGATTAGATCATTTGTACCCCTTTTCCTTGAAATGTTTTTTTTTAATTAAAGGGATGACCAATTAATAACGATATCCTGCTCCATCCTCCCAGTTCTAACAATATTACAAGTATGTTAACAAAATGAATTTCTGTCCTGTGAAGTGTTGAAAATAAATAACCCGTCGCTAAAAGTTTTATCAGCCCCCTCAAAATCAAATGGTTGTCCCCTCAGTTAAAAATATTTTGTTACAAAAAAGCCTGGTCCCCCCTTTCAACATTAATGGTCGGTCCTTAATATACATTTCAAAATAAGGAGATGTGGTATGATTGCAAATGAGACAACTACCCACCAAAGTTCAAATAGTGGATGTAAGAGGCAACCGTACGGCCTTCAATAATGAGAAAACTCATAGCCTATAGTCGGCATGTATATATAAGCACATTCAACACAAATTATTAACTTTTCCTGTTTTTTATAGACAGTAACTGAAGATACTTATGATGGTGCAAACAAAGTTAAATTGTCACCAAGATAAAAAAAAAAAAAAGAAAAAAGAAAAAAATGCACAAAAGGCTTGGCGGGAAAGACTAAAACAGGATCTATACTTATATGAACACCACCGTTAATATGAAACCGCAAGGGTTCAAGCATTTATAGCTCCCATAAATATAGACCAAAAAATGAATATAGCTAAACGGCTCTTTTAAGGATGCAGAAATATAGAGAGAGAAAGAAAAAAGAAGGGACAGCCGATACAAACACCCCAACAGAGGAAAGAAAGCATGATCATCTTACGGTGGAGCATTGTGTTAATTTTGTTGATATGAACACGAGTCATATTGATTTTGGCTTTGAAACAGAGAAATTTTTTTTTGGTTCACGCCATGGAAAAGGTCCGTGTGACGGAGAAGCTTGAGTAATAAAAAGAAGTGCAACGATTGCAGTTGCTTCAAGAGGATTTATCATCTCAAATGCAAATGATTTCTTCGAGTATGCAAAGAATCAACTAACAGTACCAAAAGATAACAAAGTAGATAAGCATAGTCATTCAAAGAGGACATTTTGTCTTTCTTACAACTGATGAAGTCAAAAAAGATATACCAGACAGAACACAAAAAATTAAAACTTTGAAGCAGTCAAGAAGTTTGTTCTCTTTTAGAGGAATACAGCCATACATAACAACTACAAGGGAGCACAGCTGTTTCTGTGACATCTGTGTAGGAAACACCATTGGAGTCTGTCAGTATGAAAGCTTGACTGGTAAAGGGAAAGTGGACAATCTAAAAATTAGGGAACGACGTTCAAAAAACCAGCTAGCTGCAAGCTGAAGGTATATATTTTTTGTAATTAGGCAAAAAAGATAAATGTCTTTTTCCTGCTTCAAAGTTAACAATGGTTAAACAGCTCAAGAAAGTCAGGTTTGGGGATATTTTGGAATATCTTTTACAGTTTGGAATATGGCAATGTATGGGGAGCCAATAAGATCTTAAATGGATTTGTCGTTAAATGCAAAATTTAGTAGTGTTTTTCAAAAATAATTGAAAAATGTGTCCAGGTAGGCATGACATATTTGGATAGGTCTGGAGACAGGAAACAGACATATATTTATTTAAGCCTTTAACAATTTTATGCCTGTAAAAAAAGCTTCAAGAAACGAAAAGAAAACTATGTGAAGTAACTATGTATTGCTTGTCTGTCTGTTACTTAAGGTTTAAATCTGCACAACAATTGATGTACTAGTATAGAGATGAAAATTGGTCAGTGAAAGAATCTACGGTAGTAAATCATGAGCCAATAAAAGTTAGGTTGATTCAACCTTTATTTTCAATTAGACTGATTTTGGTTAAGATTTATGTTTAGGTCAATATACATTATACGGGGTGGGGGAGGGGGTGGTGCTAGGATGAGATTTGAAAAAAAAGGCAGGACAGGAGTTTTGAGTTAAAAAAAAAGGCAGGATGAGCAACTTGGCAAAAAAAATGCAGGATGACAATTTATGTAAAAAAAGTCAGGATAAAGTAATAAAAAAAAAGGCAGGATCGAATAGAGTGAAAAATAAAAAGGCAGGACAGAGATAACAAAAAAAAATGCAGGACAAAATTTTTCATCCTAGCGCCCCCCCCCCCCCTTTCCCTCCCATAAAAATCAAATGGTAGCTCCCTAATGCGACTTGGCGATTGTCGCAATAATACGAACTTGCATTCTGTTATCTCATGCATATATCTCAATACAGGTTTTTCCTGAGATCTTCAATTGTCAGTTTCATAATGACCTATATTCATAATTTCAGTTGTGGTCAACTAGTTGTTGCTACCTTGAGTAACGATAACAGCATCCCTCCAAAATACGATGTTGCTGAGGTATGCATCCCATGCAAGTTGTTTTTATATTTATTTTGTTGATTTGTTCATTTTAAGACATTGATTTTTTCTCTTTAAAGTTGCATACAAAGTTAGGTGTAAGTCTATGATGATTATGAATAGTAGCCTGTAGGCTTTGTTAAAGGGTACTTTGAAGAATAAAATTTATTTCCTTGTACATGTAGGTGCTAAACATTACCAAAATGAATTTTCTTCAACGCTCATGATCTTGACCGTAATTAGATTTCAAACAATGCCTTTTAAAGTTTTAAAAAAGTCAATCTGTTCACAGGTAAAGTTTTTCTGAGACCTATATGAAAACTTTTAATAACTTTTGTATCTTTGATTAGATCCAATGCTGCTTTTGATGGTATGTTTGCAGAGTTTAAGGTATCTTTTAGACTCATATATATTTTTTTTTTTATTAATTTTCAATTGCAGATCATTGAAGTTGTTAATGAACTTCTTCTCAAGTTTATGGCCAAGGGCAACCATATCTACTACTGGCCAAGCAAAGCTGACACTAGCTGGGAGACATTTTCATCTGTAGTGAGAAGTGTTGGTGACCCTGTATTTGTGCCAGAAAAGTCAAATCACAGAAGACTATACAGATTAAATTAACATATTTAAAACATTAAAATAAAACGTTTATTTCCTCTTCTGTTTTCTGTTTAAAGGAGATTTTGTCATCTAAGGAAAGTAGATACCCAAATTGTTAGTCAGAAAGAAAGGAAAATCAATGGACAAAAACAAACCATGGAACAAAAAAAAGACAAACAATAGACACTCAACACTTAAAACTCAAATCAAATGAGAAACACAGACCCTTTAAAAACTCAGGTGGAGGCTCCGTATCCTAACAATGAAAAAAGAATGTGTTGTGTAAAATTCCCTCTCCAAATCATCCAGAGGCCACCTAATGATCTTCACAGTGGATACCCATCATACTGCTCCTGTGAAATATACAAATTATGTTGTGCCGTCACATTGTCCTTGCAAAATGGGTTTAGCCTTTCACAGAAGTCAAGTTCAATGCCAATCCCAAAATTGCAATACCATTACTGAATCTGTCCATTACACAGGCAATTTTTTTCAACGTATGTTTAACGTTTGTGCTCATTACGTGAAAACTACGTTATTTCCTCGTGTGTATCACACCGTTTAAACGTTTATATCACCTGTATTTGACACACACAAGATTCTCATGTGATAATCACGTTTTAATCTGCTCACGTGATATTCACGTTTAAACGTAACGTTATTTTCACATGTACATTTTTTAACGTGATATTAACGTGTAAATATTGTGTTAATTTCACACGTAAATTTTTAAACGTGATTTTAACATGTAAATATTGTGTTAATTTAACATTTAGATTTTTTCACATTATTTTAACGTGTAAAAGTTGTGTTATTTCACGTCTATATTTTCACATGATCGTGATGTGAATTTCATATTAATATCACATGAATAACATATATACAAGTGCAAGTTATTTTTGCAATGGCTATGTTGGATTTTCATGTGTTCAGTGAATATTTAAGGTAATGCATCTGTCATATAAATTTTACCTTAGTACAACATAAAAATTCACCAATTGCAAAAATTGAAGTTGAAAGTGTATTGTATGTTGTTTACTGTAAAATATAATTCCTTCACATGGGTTATTCTGAATTAACAGACTAATTAGAAATATACATTGTGCTTTGTTATGCTCTAAATGAGTCTTTCTTTATTTCCTGTTCTATTAAATTATAAAATCTTCCTTTACTTCAAGTTGACAATGGTTTTCATTAGAATCACAAGAGGTATATTCCGTAACAATTCTTTTTAAAAGAAATAAAACTCATTTCATGTTCTGATATCTTCTTTTCACAGTCTTGTTGTTATAATGATTTACTGCTGCAGACACTTATTTCCTCTTTTTATTCATAGAAGATGTATCACTCTGTCAATTTTCCCTGCAAACATAAGAAAAGTAGTAAGAACAAAGAAATTATAATAATAGCTTATTAATTTTGTCGTTGAATTCTACTGGTACTGAACATGCTCTAAATAGAAGATGCAAAACTACATCATATGAATGTTTTAGTTTATGATTATTTTATTCGAACACAATTGACTTTTAAAAATAGGATCAGACACAAGTTTTACTTCTGTATACAATAGGATAATAATATTATATTAAATTGAGTATGCATAAATTTTGCGCCTGTCCCAAGTCAGGAGCCTCTGGCCTTTGTTAGTCTTGTATCATTTTTAATTTTAGTTTCTTGTGTATAATTTGGAGTTTAGTATGACGTCCATTATCACTGAACTAGTATACATATTTGTTTAGGGGCCAGCTGAAGGACGCCTCCGTGTGCGGGAGTTTCCCGCTGCATTGAAGACCCATTGGTGGCCTTCGGCTGTTGTCTGCTCTATGGTCGGGTTGTTGTCTCTTTGACACATTCCCCATTTCCATTCTAGATTTTATACATACAGAATTATTTAATTCTAACATGAGTATAAGTTAACCAATTTGAAAATAAAATGCAAGGCTCAGCTTGATATGACTGACCACAGAGGTATATAGACCAATTTGAAAATGGGGCCCAAAATCAGAAATCTAACTAAACGATTAGATTCAGCATATCAAAGAACCCCAAAAATTCAATTTTTGTTGAAATCAAACAAAGTTTACTTTTGGACCCTTTGCTTCTTAATGGGGACCAATTTAAAAACAGGGCTCAAAATTAAAATTTTAACTTAACAGTTAGATATCTCATATAATAGAACCAATAAATTATTAAATTTTATATGTCTTCAAACGACAAAGTTTAAATTTGTACCCTAGGGACCTCAATGTGGACCTATTTTAAAAAGGAGGCCAAATCTATATACAAGTAACAAGGTTTGAAAAAATAAATTAAAGACTTTGAATTAAACACAATTGAAATTGGTCAAGAAAAAAGCAGTTTATACATATATGCATGTACAAAGAATAAACAAAGTGTTATTTTTGGCCCCTTAATGCCTAAACTGTTAACATGGTTAAGGCCATAACCCCCAAAATCAATCCAACCTTCCTTTTGAGGTATGGAACCTTGTGGTGTCATAAAGATCCATTAACTTAAATTTGCGACTGTATAAATATATCATGTATATTATAAAAACAAGAGTGCACACCCTGAAATGTCTCGCCTTCTTTACTAACCATTGATATTATGTTGATAGTCCTATATATATAAAGCTGAACTACAACTATCACATAAACTTAACATGATCCAAGAAAATGAGGTCAAGGCCATATAAACCAAACGAGAAATACTTATAGTATGTACATTTGTAACACCTTACAATCATTCAATACACTAAATATAGTTAACCTATTGCTAACAGTTTCTAAAAATCAGACTTAACCAAGAAAACTAAACATTGACCAATGAACCATGAAAATGGTCATGGTCAGATGAACCATGCCAGGCAGATATGTACAGCTTACAATCCTTCCATACAACAAATATAGTTGACCTATTGCTTATAGTTAAAGAACGGACCAAAACACAAAAACTTAACACTGAACAATGAACCGTGAAAATGAGGTCAAGGTCAAATAAAACCTCAAGACTGATATGTACATAATAAAATATTTCCACACACCAAATATAGTTGACCTATTGCATATAGTATTAGAAAAAAAGACCAAAACTCAAAAATTTAATTTTGACCACTGAACCATGAAAATGAGGTCAAGGTCAGATGACACCTGCCAGTTGGACATGTACACCTTACAATCATTCCATACACCAAATATACTAGACCTATTGCTTATAGTATCTGAGATATGGACTTGACCACCAAAACTTAACCTTGTTCACTGATCCATGAAATGAGGTCGAGGTCAAGTGAAAACTGTCTGAGGGACATGAGGACCTTGCAAGGTACGCACATACCAAATATAGTTATCATATTACTCATAATAAGAGAGAAATTAACATTACAAAAAATCTTAACATTTTTTTCAAGTAGTCACTGAACCATGAAAATGAGGTCAAGGACAATGGACATGTGACAGACGGAAACTTCGTAACATAAGGCATCTATATACAATTTATGAAGCATCCAGGTCTTCCACTTTCTAAAATATAAAGCTTTTAAGAAGTTAGTTAACGCTGCCGCCACCACAGCAGGATCACTATCCCTATGTCAAGCTTTCAGCGACTAAAGTCGCAGGCTCGACAATAAAAACTACATTTATGGGATTTGAAGGAAGAAGTGATGAAAAAGCAAATGAGGATGAAAATTGAAGTTTTGAAGGTTGAATCCAAGATATATTACCATACCCAATGAAATAAGAAACTGCTTACACATTTATATATTTAAATATATATGTTCAATGACAAGACTCAATACAAAGTTTACAGTAACACTGAAGAATGACAAAACTCAACGCATGCCTGATACAAAGTTTACAGTAATACTGAAGAAAATTTTGTGACGGTCAGATTGAAGGGAAAAAAACAATAATACAAGTTCTCTTTGTCTGCTTAGATAATGAGGCTGCATGGACAAGCTAATATATAGCCTTTATTTATATCTTTAACCTTTTAGTCATTTCAGGATATCTGCCTAAGACCATTCTTTGGTAATCTTGGATACATGTACCCGGTACATAATATTCACGAGCAGAGACAATCAAATTTGAATTATTTTACATTTGTCATTTAGTAGCCTTTTATAGCTGTCTATGCAGTATAGGTTTTACTCATTGTTGAAGGCCATACAGTGACCTATAGTTGTTAATGTCTGTATCATTTCGTCTCTTGGAGAGAGTGTCTCATTGGCAATCTTACCACATCCTATTTATTTTACATTTGTATTGACACTTACAATGTATATTGAAGTCTTTTGTTTTAACCAAAAGATGCCTCTACTGGTTTTGTTGTTTGTTCGGGTGCTGATTCATTGAAATATAGACGACATTTCTTTTCATTTATTTATCTCAATCGTTTGACCGTTACAGCCAAGTTAATCAAGTATATAATACCTGCTGCTTTTACTTCTTCTCCTTATTGAAAAAGTACATTTCCTTTGTTAATTTCTTTTTTTTCCCCAATGAGCTCCTCAACAATTTTCTCTGTTCATTAACTAAGAACTTGGGAACTTGCTGTATCCCTAAAAACATATCAAATTATTCAATTGATGGAAAAAAATCTTTCATTTTTATAATGGTATTATTTATTACACAATAGAAATATTACTCTTAAATATTTGTTTACATGTAGCTTAAGTTTGTCGTAATGTCATAAATGTGTAAGCTAAACATAAAATAAAAGATATAGCTGTTCAAAGCTGACTGACATGATATCATCAATTAGATTTAACCCCCTGAAGTACAAATTAAGGAGAAATTACAACTGAAAATATCGTTTAACAAGAGAAGAGAATTATCCTGTCATCAAGACAAAGATTGAAGAATCCAACTAAATCCCACATCCCCACTTTTTCACCCCAATATGAAAAATCCCTTTTTTTTTAACCTCGATATCCCACAACCCAAAAGCGTGTCATTCCCCTATGTTCACCTGTACTAATATCAGAGACAGATTTAATGCGCAGCCCCCCCCCTTTTTTGTGGGCTTAACCTTAGGCAGTCAATGCCCCCCCCCTTTTGTGGGATTTACCTTAGACAATCAATGCCATCCCCCACCCACTTTTATTAAAATTTATGTCATTTATGGATCACTGAATATGGAAAAAGAGTTCATAAATCGATTTGACTTTGTCTTATCGAATTTGTGTTAAGGTTATTTAAATAAAATATATGTTTTAACTAAACTTTAGTGTAGCCTTAGGGTAAAAAAAATCAGAAAAAAAACTGTAATTTTATCGAACTTACCTGCACTGCATATTTTTAAAGTCACAAGTACACAGTACAGTAGACCCGAGACAGAACTTTTTTTTACTTCTACAGTTCCGTCATTGTACAGTACACAGACTCTCAGTCTGTCAGTTTCATATGGACTGTTATCACATTGACAAGGAGATTGCTTGCCAAAAATAACCGCGGGAAATACCGCACACCTTGAAAAATTTCGGAATCGGTGTGTAACGCAGAAGCGGAATCAATTTATTAACATTGTTTTGTTATCCAGCTGGTAGCTTGATATAATTTAAATATTTAATTTAATTAATTATTTTAATATTTAAACATGAAATACAATCGGTAAATTCAGTTTAAATGAGACTTGATGTGCTTCGTCTCTCAGAGAATTGTCCCGTACGGTTCACAGAAACGAGCGTCTCAGACGACACCAATTTTGACACCACAGTAGTGGCAATGGAAAGTAATGCAGATACTCTTGAAGATATAACAGGTATATTTTATTTCACAACCCCGTTATGAAGGTATGTGTACAATAGTTAATTAAAACGTACCATTCCCTGAACAAATACAGTCTTCATGAAACACTTGACTGCCTGAAAATTGGAAAAACCCGTCATAAACTTTTAAATTCCTTTAAATTTAAATCATTTAGCAGGTTGGGCTCAAGTCAGGAAAACTGGGGTATTCCTTGTTTTCAGGGAACACCCCAGTTTTCTGGTGTTAAAAAACCCCAGTAAACAGGGACTTCTTTTTTCCTTGTCAATTTATGGTATGAAATCTACAAAAGCGCACCTTCTACATGTGATAACAATGTTATATATAGAAAGTGTTTTTATAAGTTCAAAAATCAAGCTAATTTCTAGTCTTATTTGATGCTCAACTCACAACAAAACAATTCCTTTGTTCACAAATTCATACCTTGATCATCAATTATGAGAAGACAAAAAGATAAGTTAATCACTTAGGCATTTAAATTCAATGAATAGAAAATTTCAATAGAAGTGAACATAATTCAGTTATGATCAGTTACACCTGGAGCATGCAGCTTGATCAACTGATTCCTAAACAAAAGATTTGTATGTTTTTGAGTTCTAGAAAAAACAAGGCTTCACTTATTCATGTTTTGTTGTTCCTGAGATACTTAAAGTATTTACAAATACTACTGATACAGTTAAAACATGCGCTTTTGTTAATTTCATGCCATGAATTGAAATAGAAAAAGGAAGTCCCTGTAAACTGGGGTTTTTTAACACCAGAAAACTGGGATGGTCCCTGAAAACAGGGAATACCCCACTTTTCCTGACTTGAGCCCAACCTGTTTAGGGCCTATGGTTTGTGACTTGTGAGTCCTTTTTCATTAAAATTTTACTGTCCTGACAACATTTATACATGCCTGGGCCGTATGATTTTTATGAGTTAATCATGAAGACCGAATGATCACACTAATAGTAATACCCAACTTTTGAAAGAAATTACCACAGGCACTAGCATTTTGTATATAATTTAATCTCTGTAAAAAATAAATATCTTCTTTTAAGTTTTAAACTGAATTTTACTGTGCGTATTGCTGTGTGTTTCTTTATTCTACATTGGCTAGAGGTATAGGGGGAGGGGTGAGATCTCACAAAACATGTTTAACCCCACCGCATTTTTTGCCTCTCCGAAGTCAGGAGCCTCTTACCTTTGTTAGTCTTGTATGTTTTTAAATTTTAGTTCATTTACATGTTTTGGAGTTAAGTGTGAAGTCCATTTTCACTGAATTACTCAATTAGTACACATTATTATGGAGGGGCCAGCTGAGGCCCACCTCGGGGTGCGGGATTTTCTTGCTTCATTAAAGACCCATTGATGGCCTTCGGCTGTTATCTGCTCTTTGTTGGGTTGTTGTCTCTTTGACATATTCCCCATTTCCATTCTCAATTTTACTCAGACTGACTCAGAGACATCATATATAATGTCTCTGATTTACTTCACCAGTATAAAAGAGAACTAAAGTTAGTATTTATAGATAAATTATTTTATATTTATATATCTATTCAAAATAAAATTATGAAAAGAAAAGTAGAGATTATTGGGATTTTTTTTAATGTCAGAATATCTGGCAAAAACTCAAAAACATGAGGAACGAACATCCTTAGACATAAATATATGTGGGTTTTGATTTTTACAAGACTTCAATAAATAAATAGGGGCTTTTTCACATTCAGCTGCAGGTACTGAGGACCTGCATGTATTGATCACTTACACTTATCTGTCTGGAGTGGTATATAAACTTCACATGTCTCATAGACATACACCACATAACTCATTTTATTTCACCAGTTAAATATATGTCAAGATTGTTCATGATCATAGAATGACACTTGAGTTAATTATCAGGCAATTACCTTTCATTGTTCCACTTATTAATATTTACCACACAATTTTGGTAGTTCACTGTAATGTTCCCAATTTAAAGTTTGACAGACTATGACAATAACTGTATGTGTAAAAAAAATACTTAAAATTTATGCATTTCTTTTTTCTATATGACAGATAATAAGCAGGGCATGAACGAAGTATGGAGGATCTGTTTGAAAATTCCAGACATGAGAAAGAAAATGACAGGGAGAGATGTCCAGTTCAACGTTACCAGGACAATTCAGCAAAGTTCCAACAGATATGTATGCACTATTTCCATTCTATGAAATGTAATGCATTTAACAAAACAGTGTGCTTTAAAAAGAACAACATGCCTTTTGGCTTGCAATTTGCAGCATATGTGCAGAGGAAGAATAGATATAATTTGTTGTACATTAATGCTACATATGATATTTAAGTAACTTTGCAGAACAAAATGTTCTGAATGTTAGCATTAAATATTTGCCACTGGACAACTGAAGGACCTTATGTAATGCATACAAAAATTGATAAGTCAAATGTAAAAGGTGATAAGAATCGAATAATCATTTAACTATATATACGGTACATATACAAATGTACCTAAGAAGTGACTAAACAACATGAACAATAGATATATCTTGGAGCTATTCAGGAATTATCTAACAGGGTCTTTTTTTACACCAACCACCCGTAATATAAAAATTTATTTTACTTAATGAAGTACAACATGTATGTTTCTAAAGAAATTCTGAGGAAATTACAACCACCCCAATATAATATGACTACTTGGCATGACATCAGATGCAACTCATTCATTTGTCATTGTTACCTTTAAAAAAATAAAAATAAAAAATGACTTATAAAATCATGTCTGATTCTACAACATTTCATTTTATACTTTAAACAAATTTGATATGAATTTGGAGGGCTTGTAATCGTGCAGTCCTATTGCAGCTTTTTATTAAATTTTTAACACACTGTACAATTAGATTGCATAATTGGAATCATTATACCAAAAAAACTACTGTTAATGCTAATAATAAAAAAAACAAAACTAATGGACATTTATTGATTCATTGATGTCTTTATTTTCTCATAATTGAGATATTGAATGATTAATGTTTAGCGCCACTTTTAACACTATGGTGCTATTTTGTGGTATCCAGTTTTTATTGATGGAGGAAGCTGGAGAGAACCATGACCTTCGGTAGGAAAACTGACAATCCTAGTCAATTAAGATTGGAGTTAAGTTCACTTGCCACGTGCAGGATTTGAACTCACAACCTTAGTGTTGACTGGCTGCTGGCTGGTGATACAGAAGTTCGACTACTTAGACTACTCGTCCAAGTTGGCCCCATATAATCGAGATATAATAAATATATATATATATATACAAAATTAATTAAATATCACACAACAAAAGGAATGTAAAATAAAGAAAGAAAAAAAGAAAGTTTTATACATACACACAAAGAAATATTTAAGTCACTCAGCATAAAATCCCAATGCAATGATGTTAATCTTTAATGATAACATGTTACATGTATATACTGTTCATATTATTAACATTACTAAAGATGATTATGTGACATTTGTTTGTCAGTCAGTAGATGGAGGCATAATATGTGGACTAAAGTTCATGTTCATGTACATTTATTTGAATATTTATTTTTCCAGAAAAAATCTGAACTTGAGGCAAATATATACTGTCATGTATATACATGTATATAAGATGGATAAAGGACATGATACTTTCAGAGAATCACATTTGGCTACAAAAGTTTGTAGTATTTTGGTTGTAATCAAGTTATTAAGCTGAAGGTAATTTAATAGTAAAACAAGAAATGTTTCCTATTCAAGTATACTAAAATAAAGTTTGATGTTTAGGTCAGAATATGATAAAGTTCTTTTTTTTTGTCTCCCTTTAGATTTACTTATGTATTTTCTGGCTTTTTTTTTTTGTAAAGTACTGGTAAAAGTCAAAATTTGTTTGGTAAAGCACCATTTAAGTTCAGAACATGTTGTATATAGTATATTAATAATTTAGATAAAATAAAAATAAAAAATACAATTATTTTATCTATCTACCCTATCTTTCTGCCAGGAGACAGCAAATAAGTGTATACATTTTTTGGCTTTATTGTTCAAAAATGATGTTACAAAACATAACCAAATATTGATTAAATCCTTCATACTGCAGGTTATTTCTATACTTGCATGCCTGAAATTAAGATTATAATCTCATCAAACATTACTTTTCAAGTAGATAATAATATATTGTCAATTATATTATAATAATTGAATATTAGAGTTTCAGTAATTCATATATTGTCTTATTGACAGCTCATTCAAATTAAAATATAAAGTTATGAGGGTCCGGTAATTGTAGATTTGACCATGTTGACAGCAACAATAGCTTAAAAGATTTTGACATAAAAATTGAACAGTAATCTGAAACTGATGCTCAGAACCTTGAGGAATATCTAGAATTTCATTTTGTTTATAAAAACTGTATACTATACTTTTTGATAGCCCTTAGTAAAACATTTTCTTGGCTTATTTTCATTTATGAACTATTTGAGTATTTCTGAATTCATTGACCCAGATTTAAATAGATGGCTCAAAGGATTGAGATCTAAAAAAAATCTTTTAAGACTTCCAGATGTTTGTATGCCTTTCTTCTCGTTATTGCTTTGTTTGATCCTGTTCCTAAGCACATATTGACATAATGATGTTATTTTTTTGTTAATTTACAGCTTCAAGTAAAACAGATCTAGGCTACACCTTCACTATTCAAGTCAGACTTTAAAAGGAAGCCTTTTTTGTTGATAGCTGAACATGTAAGTAAATACATTAATATCTTATTTGTATATTGTACAAATTAAACAAAGGAAGAATAATTAAGAAATAATTCGCCTTTTTCAGAATCTAAAGGATTATGGGTAATCTAATTGTTCGTACACCAAAATGAAAATAACATTACCTCATTGGTTGAATTTCTATTGTTTAGAACTTTTTAAACCAATCACAACATTTTGGTGCACACTTTGTAAATATTACCCAGAACAGAATGCATTTATTTAGATTCCGAAAGGGCGAATTAAACTGGTGATAATAGAAATATTAAAATGAGGAGATGAGGTATGATATTGCCAATAAGACAACTATCCACCAAAGTTCAAAGAAAGTGGATGTAAGCAATAATGGGCAACCATAGAGCCTTTAACAATGAGAAAAATCCATAATGTATAGTCCGCTATATTTAAAGTTCAGTCTTTGGTTAAAGTTTTTTTTTATTTATCAATATATGAAACCTTCATCATGGATTATCATGTTGATGCAATTAAATGATATTTGAATAGTAGATTTTAATAATCGAGAGGGGTAGAAGATACCAATGGGATATATTCAAACTCAAAGGTCGATTTACAAACTGACAAACGCCATAAAACAAAAAAAAGACAGACTAAAAGACAAGCAACTGCATACACAATGTAGAAAACTAAAGACTGAGCACCACAACGGCACTAAAAATCTTGGTGATCTCAGATAATGCAGAAGGGTTAGCTAATCCTGCTCCACATGTGAAACCTATCGTGTTATTCCAAAAAAATATCTTTGCCAAGTTATACTAAGTCATTAGGCATCAGGCAACTAGCAGATTGGCTATTGACTCTTAATCTAACACTAAGATATCACCATATTCATCAACCATCAGTAATGTAAATTTTTAACCATTAATCAATAAATCTTGACCTAATGTGAAGTTTTGAAATTTGCAAATTTTTTATGAAAAGGATAGACAAGACAGTACCAGTAAAAACAACACAGACATTGAAAAATTAAGAAACAGAAAGAACGAAATTTTGTCTTCTCTTTTTCATTATTTTTGTCTTGCCTTGAAAAAGCTAGATCTAGGGGTGCTGTTTCAACAATGTATAAGTTTGTGACTAGGTCATTTTAAGGGAAATTGGATATAATGAATATATATATATATATATATATATATATACAAAATTTATTAGATATCACACAACAAAAGGAATGTAAAAAAAAAGAAGAAAGTTTTATACATACCATGAAATGATACGGACAATGAAATACTAAAGTCACTTAGCATATAAGTTTGTGATTAGATGTAAGAAGATGTGGTATGAGTGCCAATGAGACAAATCTCCATCAAAGTCACAATTTGTAAAAGTAAACCATTATAGGTCAAAGTATGGTCTTTAAAACAGAGCCTTGGCTCACACCGAACAGCAATCTATAAAGGGCCCCAAAAATGTTTGTCAGTTTAAGGGGAACCTTTAGTGATGGGCCAATGATATTTGGAATTCAGTTGTATTAGTATTGGCACATCACATTTCCATGGAGATTATTTGGCCCTGTACATTCAGTCATGTTTTTTTTATGCCCCCGCAACTGAAAGTTGGGGGGCATATTGTTTTACCCCTGTCTGTCCGTCCGTCCGTCCCATTATGGGTATATAGTTAATCCGCATAACTCTTCCTACAGTTTGAATCCTAGGAAGTTTTCACTTTGCTGTCTGTTTGTACATATATTGAAGGTGTGCATGTGGTCAGGGTTTTGATTTTTATTAATATTTGCTCTTTTGGGAGATAGTTGAACTTTGTAAATTTTTGGAGTATTTACTTTCATAAGAGGAGCGTTTAAATGTTATAGTTATTTTAAAATAACACTTTGCATCTGCGGGGGCATCAATTGTGTCTCCCAGACACAATAATATCTCAAAGAAAGTCCTACATTGACTTTGTTATAATACAGTTACTCCAGAGTGGAGTCACTTTGTCTAGTTTTCATTTCAATTTTACACAGGCAAATCACCACATTAGTAATGATACATATAAAAAAGATGTGGTATGATTGCCAATGAGACAACCCTCCACAAGAAACCAAATGCCACAGAAATTAAGAGCTATAGGTCACTGTACGGCCTTCAACAATGACCAAAGCCCATACTGCATAGTCAGCTATAAATCACAAATGTAAAACAATTCAAACGAGAAAACTAACGGCCTGATTAATGTACAAAAAAATTAACGAAAAAAACAAATATGTAACAACAAACAACCACTTAACTACAGGCTCCTGACTTGGGACAGGCACATACATACAGAATGTGGCAGGGTTAAACATGTTGGGGGGATCTCAGCCCTCCCCTAATCTGGGACAGCGGTGTAACAGCACAACATTAGAACGAACTAAAAAAATCAGTTGAAAAAGGCTGAACTCAACAGATGGATACAAATAGAAATACATACAACAAAAACACAGAGTGGACGTGGATGGGTACTTGTACATCCCAACAACAAAAAGACACTTAGTACAAATCTGAGAGTGCAGATACTGACAGCTAGTTCAAAGCCAATAACAACTTAAAAAAAAATGCATCTAAGAATAAATTATCAACCAGTACACATCCAACATCCAATGGATTTAGTGTAAAGACATCATAAACAATCAGAGAAAAACATGACCTGGTGCAATGCCAAGACACAGGAAATGACAGATTGTAGATCCATGAAAGTGCACATGTATATAATAATAATGTTTACTAGGGTTGTAAACTATAGATATATTGAGAATTTTATCACATTGTTGTTTACAAAGCAAAAGCAACACTCATATTAGAAGTAAAATAAAGCTTTCATTATGTATGCTTAAATAAGATAATATTATAACAGTAAATAAAATTCTTTTTTTTATCCTTTCAGATGAAGAAACTTTCAAAAGAGTGGAGCATTTAGAAGATGGAACAATCAAATATTATTTGTTACTATTTCAGTAACTTTTCAAATGTTAACTGTTTAGAATATTCTTAAATATAAATATAATTGAATTTAATGTGGAAAGTGTTTTGTTTTTTTTTAACATTTGGTAACATATGCCTCTGTTAGGCACAATTTTTTAATCATAAGCTGATAATTTTTAGATTTGTCATGGTAAACCTGCAAGGGACACAACTCTTGTAGAATGAACATTGTTAAATAGCTAGTCTGTATTGAATTGTTGTTTGGTATACATTTGGTTTTGCATTATTTTTTTTGCAATTTCGAATTCGACTTCTTTTCAAACATTGTATAAATTTAAAATGTAGCTGACTTTGACATTGGTATTCGTACTTTTAGATTTTTTATGAATTGTCAAACAAACGCAATTATAAAGCAAGAATTTCAAACAAACAAAAAAAGAAATACTAACAGGAAGATTCGAAAGGTTTCAAACATGTAGAAATAGTCTCATGGTTTAAATAAGATTTGGATTTATATATATATATATAAGTTTTGATGGATGCTAAACATCCAGCCACAAATATTACATACATATTCAGGATGATAACAGGTTAATAAAACATGCATATGAGGTAACTGATAATCAATATAAGACAATTTATTGATGTATAACTCACTTTTACAGTACTTTTACCATAAAGAACCAGAGAAACATCTTCAAATAGAGATGAACAAGAACAAAAAATGATATGTCAATGAGTGCATTGTTACAAAGACAATATTTCATTTTTCCTAGTGGCTGCTTCACATAAAAGTCTTGTTGTATTATCACGTTTATATCACGTGGCTTTATATTTAACGTGAATATCACGTTGTATTATCACGTTGATATCATGTGGATTTATATACAACGTGAATATCACGTGTGACGAACGTTTATTTCACGTTGTGCTCACAACGTGAATATTACGTTTCTGCTCGTTTCACGTTGTACTCACGTGGTGTGGACAACGTGAATTTTACGTGATTCCCATGTTAAAATCACGTTGGAAAAAATTGCCTGTGTACATGGTCATATGATTTTTTTTTTAATTCGGAAGGCAAACCAGTGTGTACATACCTTCCTGCTGTCTGGTACAGGAACAGTTGTTACATTGAAATGCATCAAAACATCATTATAAAATTGTTATCAAATATAAAATATAGCCTTGGAAAATTAATACAATTTGTATCATGTTAATTCGTTCATTTGATTAACAAATGAAAAACTCTGGAAAAAGGTGTCTCGTAACTTACATAAAAATATCCAGAAAAAAATGAAATAGACTTCTGCTTATACAACAAGGGTAATATTATAACAACTTAACAAACTTGAAAGCAAACAAGTTGCTGATTGTGTGTCCTTAATCACACTCTTTTACTGGAATAAAAGATTTGCAAACTTAACTTTATGTAACAGTGTCCGCCATAATAGTCAGTACAAAAAATCAGTAGAAGGAAGTATCGTCAAAGTAAATATATGTTGAAACTAGTAATGTAGTTGTCAGTCCATGGCATATCTATTATCTTTAATTCTCACTTGAATCATAGAGTAACTTTTATTTTGTAGACACCATGTTAATTACATAAATTTTGGTTTTGACTTCAAAATTCTTGATAATAGCTGACAGCATTATCTTTAAACAATTTTTTTTTATAAATATACATAGAAAAAATAATAGAAAAAAACATTTCTATGAGCATCTTAAAATCAAATATCAAGTCCCATATTTGGATTCAGTATTGGAGAATTAGTTAAATGCATATTAGTTTGCCGCTGGACGTTAAGCAGCCATCCATCATCAAAATCCTTCTGCACCTAGTTTTTGGAAAATCCAATTGACGTCCCCTCAAAAGTATCAGAAAATAACATCAGAGCATTATCTCTCCCAAAGGGTGACTGGGGAATAGAAATAAGGTCATATGTCTTCTTCCGATCGGCAGTAAATCCTTGTCAAAGTGAGGCGTCCGTATGACTGTGCGGGATTTATCAAGTACGCAGTCACGTCCGGTCAGAATAGGGACGTTAATTCCGATGCCTCGTGTAAAGGGAGTGCCACGATCTTTGTACGTTAAGAATCCTTGCAACAACTCTTTGAGGGGTCCGTAAGTGGCCTGTTGCCAGGCAAAATTTCTGTCTTATCCAATGTACCTTCAATTTACAGTGGCAGTCGAAATTTCCCCGACCTTCATCCTATATAACAAGACCTACCAATTATGTTTATTGTTAATTTGTTCTCGTCCTGAACATGCATGAAATATTTGCCACTTGACGTTAAACAACCAACAATCAATCAATCAATCAGAGCATTATTTACCTGTTGTGTTGACGGCATTACGAAAAATGACTCTTCATCTATAACATGCGCAATGCATTGACATTACATTTGATCTATTCGTACAAGACGCTTTGATAGTATCTGATTGAAAAGCATATGAAACGGAATAAGAAAAAGTGAACGATCAAGCTTTGATTGTCATTTTAAATTTAAGATTTTTTATTTGAATACCTTGGTAGTTTATTTTCGAGACCTCACAATTAAACAACAGAAATCCATCAATTGATTCTTCCTAAAACAACAAATGTTAAATAACAGAAACGCTCATTTAATTCTGGGACAATTTGGGGATTCTAAACTTTCACCACCACAGTTCACAGATTCTCTAAAATCTTGAAAATTATACAAATTTAACGACGCTTCACTTTAAATTTTTTTTTAATAACCTGGAATTGAATCTTCGATTTGTTTAGAGGTAATCGCAAGACTATTTAGCTGGTCTTGTATATAGTCAAATAAAATTGTACGATATTTTACATAGAGTATAAGAACATTATATTTTACTATAACGATTTCAATTTCAAGTATACCCCTCTTTGACACAGCGTCCGTGAGACGATAAAAAGGACTTTTATAAACCTTTGATACAAATGTTAATAAAAATCTAAAAAAAGTTATACACATGAGAGCGCTTACAATGCAATTTTCCATATAATTAATATTTCCAATTGGCATTACTCGTTTAAAAATAATTGATCGGCACTTATTTTCGAACTCGTCCAAGACATTGCTGATATAAGTTTTATAAAACAAAAACCCTTGACCTTTCACAGACAAGTCATAATATTAACTTCTTTAACTTTAGAAAACAGGGGGTGGAATTCAATTGTGCCATCCGAAGGGTGACTGGGGATTAGACTTTTGGTCACTCTTGATGTCTTCCGACGGGCAGTAAATTGTGGCGTCCGTTTGCTTGTGCTGGATGTACAGGTACTGAGGCTCGTCTGAACAGATCACATGTGTTAAGAACCCTTGCAACAACTCAGTTGCAAAAGCTTCTGAAAAGATAAGGATGGTTTCGGTCAAGTCTGGTTTAATTGGCCCTAGTAGTTTCAGAGAAGATTTAGGTGAAAGTTGACGGATGAAGGGATTCAAAGTAATAACAAAAGATCAATATCTGTTTGACCGGTGAACTAAAAAGCTAACGTGTCTTATGATTCAACAGAGGGGGTATTTTGAAAAGATGAGCATTTAGATATGCGGGATATATAAATACGCAACAACGTCCGGTCGTAATAGGGTCCTATTCTGCATGTTTAAAAGCTCTTGCAACTTTCGGGGATTAGAATTTTCTCTGTTACAAGGCTTAATTTCTGCTTTTTTACCGACATGCACTAATTGTCAGTGGCAGTTTAACCCCAGAGGTGACTGGAAAATAGTATTATTGTCACTCTAAAGTCTATTTCTATCACACTTGCTAAGTGGACCGTCCGTATGGCTGTGCCACGCCCTCTGCACGTTAAGAACCCTTGCAACAACTAATTTATAACTTTCAATACTACGTTGATTATTTAATGACCTGAATATTTAAAATTTGAAGAAAAAAAAATTCAATTACTGATACCGCCCATACTGTTGGATGTATTATGAGATGTTACTAAAAATATTCAGAAGTGATTACCGTTTGCGTTACGTTCATTGGCAAAGAATTCATGCATGTCCAGATTGAAAAAAAAAATAATGACAATAATAACTTTATTTGCAAAATACATCCGTATGGGTCAAGCATAAACACACAATAATAAACAGTACTGTCACAACAGTGAAAGAATTACAAATATACGCACAAATAAAAACCAGGGTATGATATTGTAATTTTGATGGACAAGGAACTCGTTTTCGCCATTCTATAAAAAAAACATTTCAGTCACAAACTCAGGTTTAAAGGCTGTTTAGACATAGAAATAATCATCATGATTATAGGGACCAAAGGTTTTTTAAATTTTGTGATTAACTTTATGGTGAATTCCATTTTTTTCTAGATAATAAACTGAACTCAACTTCAAAAAATCAGTTAATTTTAATAATGGACAAGAAAACCTGGTTATTCAAGTTCTACCCTTTTCCACTTCTAGATTATGGTCACTTACCCGAACTGTATTAACCGTCAGATTATAAAAAAATGAGTCTTTTAATAAGTAGTTTATTTTTCTCTCTGATTATCTCTGGCTGCAAAGAAATAATTTTGAACTGTATGATTAAAGAAAGTATATTTAAGACATTGTTTTTGTGTAGACGTCATGCGATATCTGTTTAAACTTCATCTTTCAGGAAAATATTATATAGCACGCCTTTTACGAATTAACGTATTTAATTCACGAAAAGCGTAGCTTTGAGTGGATCAAATATGTTAATGAGTAAGGCATGGCTTTAAATGATTTGTAACATAAATCATGTTAATGGGCGATGACACATGTCAAAGGTTAAATTTAACTGTACTTCTCACGAATTAAATATGTCAATCAAATAGTGGCGCTTTCTATGACAAAACGTCTCTTATTTTTAGAAAATGAACTCATGTGTCGGATTTTTTTTTAGTAGGATTTGATTTAATGATAGATTCACAGGTAAATAAATTCTTGTCGTGATACTTTCATCGAGGTTTAGACTAGAGAGCGATTTATGTGTTATTGGAGTGTCCCCCTTACCCTGGCGAAAATACTTGAGGGGATAGATGCAAAATCTTGTTATATGTATACCATCCTGCCTGCTTTCAAAGCCAAAAGCACGCGTA